CACACGATGTTTCTAAGGTTAAGTGACTGCTACATTTGATTAAAACTAGCGTCTCTTCCGTTTCACGATACAAACTTTGCAGTTGTCCGAAAATGTTGTCCCTCCATATAAAGAAAAAGTGAGACCTCACCATCCTCCTTTCTACGCCCATGGAATGGGCGCAGCTAAAGTGTTTGGCGTCAATGGACGTGATTTATTTTTGCAACTCACTCTCCCCACCCCCCAACTCTGAAACAAATTATTTAAAAAAACATTAATACCATCAAATCTCACTTTGGTTGCCACTCTAGCCTGGCGCTCCGGGACGTAGGTCCCAACTGGCATACCTTAGCTACGCCTCTGGGGCCTCCACCGGAAACTGTTTGTTGAAATATGCTTATTTTAACTATGAAATCTAACCTAGAAATCTTCTTGGGGCACTCAGTCTTTTCCTATGTTTCACTGATGTGATGTTTTGCTTTATGTCTGAACGTCCACCATGACCAATACTAAAAATATTATTGCAAACTGTGCACGCGGCTTCAGTTTCATAGCGTCCCTTTTTAATTTAGTTCCACTCTTTGGAACACTCCTCCATAAACTTACATGAACGCTTGGGCATAATTCTTGTCTATTATTATCTTCAGAAGATAATATAAAATTAAAGAATAAAGTTCAACACCCAAAACTAACACCTGTCACTCTGACACGAACAGGCCGGCAGGGATCACACACAAGACTATCACTCTGACACGAACAGGCCAGCAGGGACCACACCTAAGACTGTCACTCTGACACGAACAGGCCGGCAGGGACCACACCTAAGCCTGTCACTCTGGCACGAACAGGTCGGCAGGGACCACACATAAGACTGTCCCTCTGACACGAACAGGCCAGCAGGGACCACACCTACGACTGTCACTCTGACACAAACAGGCCGGCAGGGATCACGCACAAGACTGTCCCTCTGACACGAACAGGCCGGCAGGGACCACACCTAAGACTGTCACTCTGACACAAACGGCCGGCAGGGATCACACAAAAGACTGTCACTCTGACACAAACGGCCGGCAGGGATCACACACACAAGACGAACATATTACACGTAGCGGTAGCGGAATCAAGATTGGTTTCTGCCAAGTTACCCCCCCCCCCCCCCCCCCGCGGCTTCAAGTCTCGTGTCTTCCGCTATACATTTACATATAAGATCTATGTCAGGGACACTGTGGTGGAGGGGGAACAGTGCAGCCATCACGCGAGCCCACATCACTACTGGCACTAGCTACACAGCTAGCCAACATAAACGGGACAATCCCGTTTTTACGGGACGTTTGGTCACCCTAAGATAGATAGATCAATAGATAGATATATAGATAAATAGATACAGATAAATATATAGATGGATGGATGGATAGATAGATGGATACATAGATATAGAGAGATAGGGAGAGGGAGAGAGAGAAAACAGGACTAAACTGCATTATAACCTAGAAGTAAAAATTAAATTAGTATCAATTGCCTCACTAAATTCTGCCAAACAATGAAATGCTACAACTCACTAATTCTGCCCGACGACTGACTAATCTTGTCTCACGATTAAATGCCACCACTGACTAAATACATCTACTACCTTCTGCCACATGATCAAATGATCTAATTACAACAGCTACCTTAGAATAGGTGAAATCCTCACATAATCTCGTCGTCTTTTCCAGGTTTTCCGATATTATTCTTTTATCAGATCCAACAACTGAGCATGATTAAAGAGAACGTTAGTAAGGCAGAACATCAATATTCTAAGCTAAGCATGATTAAAGAGATTTTCAGTGAGACAGAACATCAAGATTCTAAGCTGAGCACGATTAAACAGAACGTTTGTGAGACAGAACATTAAGATTCGAAGCTTTTGAGCATAATTTTATTTTTCAAACTCGAAAGTTAACTGTGCTCCACTCTCGCACACACAATTTGAATGTATTAACTATTAGACAAACTAAAGAGATAATCGGTGCGTGATATTAGCATGTGGACAAATGAACAGCTGGGGACGTAAAATGCCATTCAAAATAACGTGCATTTCATCCTCAAAATTTATATAAACACTTAACATTTTTATATGACTTACCAGTCGACGTGGTCATGATAAGATGGTTGGTCTTGCAACAATTTGTCAATTTTTTACTTATTTATACAGCTGTTTTCCTTCACGTACACATTTTGGGTAAATCTTTTAACAAAAAATAGTGTTCATAAAGTTTCAAATAATTTAGTCTGCGGCATGTTGTAACGATTGTTGTGTTTAAGTGGAAAACAGTACATTGATATCTGCACGCTCATAGACGCAGGGTTTCTCCTGCTTGGAGTAGACTTGTTCATCCGTTTTATGCAGGATCGATAAACAATTAATATGATGGTATATTTTAAAGATTAATTGGTGCGCACCGTAGAATTACATGGTGCGTACAAATGAACGCCGTCTAAAAAAAAATGGATTCTATATTGGGCGAGATATGACAATTTATGGAACATTAATGTGGAATTTTGAGAAACAAATAAGTTTGAAATATTGAGGCAATAATTTAAAGTGTTTAATTAAAATTGGTAGCACGAAATCTTGTTCCAACCGGTTATTAAAATATTAATTCGCCGCACAAATATAGAAAAAAACAAGCAAATGACGCCATGGGTATGCCGACACTTCATCCAATGAAAATTAACAATAAATAAACAAAGGGGAATGACTCCTGCACAAAAAATTGAATAAACACGCAATGACGTCATGGGATGAAAACTAAGAATCAGCCTCGGTGGTAATTATAGAGTTTTTTTCCCCTCCAAATTTACACGTAGAGATAACGAAATATTATTTCTTGTAATTTCTGTTAGCTGATAAATGTGTGTTGCGAAAACTTTGACGTGTACAGACAAATAGAGTAGTGACGTCCGAAAAGCGATAATAAATGAGGCACTGCGTTCAAGCAACGTAAAGTAAATAATAGAGAGACAAGATTTGATTGATGTCTTCTTCAGCAGAAATCCAAAACAAGATGCAACAGATAGTTTAGAATTTTTTAAAAAATCGCAACGAAGTGAATATAGCTCATTGTTCAGAAAAGGAGCGAATAAAGATTAAAGATGGTTAGAGATTAAAGGGAAAAATTGGATAAATAAGGAATTATAAGAGTGTTGGACTGCGATAAAGCTTTGAGGTAGATTAAATAGACACGAACAATTTGTGTCAATAAAACAATATATGTTCACTTACTTAAGAAATAAGGAAGAAATGCACAAGTAAACGTTTCGGGAAATGCCCTCATCAGCACCACAACAAAACATTTTAATAAGTCAAGGTTAAATTTACATAATATATATTGACATGTATCCTACCGAACAAAATAAAAAAGAATAAGAGTGGGCGGTATAACAGCATTTTTCCAGGTGTCAGAGATTCTGGGTATGTGCCAGATGCTTTTAATAAGATCAATTATGGCTTTTCTACTGAAAGACTCGAAATTACCAGCCTTTCTCTGTGACTGGTGCATTTCGAGATGTAAGAGACTTAATAGCTCTTTTGATCTCAGTCAGCGTGAAGATTTCTTCGAAAAGAGCAAAGTCGATCATATTTTATGGATCGGTCACTGTTTGCTGTTCTTTTTTTGCCATGTTGATTGTGGCAAAGTGATTGTTAAAAAATCTGTTTGTTAAAAAAACCCAGTATTGATAAGATTTAATTGATTTCAAAACAACACACTGATGCTATTTGGAAGAAGCACCTAGAAATAATGCGAATGTTTGGTGCCCTCCGAGTCAGCATTTACCACAATTCAAACAGCAAATTGTGTTGTTTTTTATCCATCAGGGAAGGATGGCTATCAACAACCTTACACTGCAAGCCTACAATAGTAGTGGGTCCAGTTTCATTGCCAGAGGAAGACCACGCCGGCGATGGCTCTGCAGTACTTAGGACACCATCTAACTCAACACCAGGAGCCTCAGGCCTCATACCCGCTGCAAATCGCAAATGTTACCTTCCCGGGACGTCACTCCGTAGAAGCATTCAGAGAAAAAAAAAGTATAATATTAAAAAAAAATTATTTCATAATTGCAGGCTCAAAGTCTTTATGTAAAAGCTGTTCCGAATAAAACCGATGGATAACACCAATTACAGTATCATTCTCAATTCTCGTTCATGATCTTAAGACTGAATCGCGGAATTCGCTTTTATAACTTACCAGACTCTCAACAATTTCTGTTTGAAAGTCTTCAATGTGGCGCCCGAGCTGGCTATTTCATTACATTTACATAAAGTCAGAACGGTTTTGTGTACACTGACTATCCAGAGAGTGTTTTTTAAAGTGTTTTTTTATCACTGAGTTTACGAACTGCAGGTACACGAGGCAACATGAGATACATCTGTATCCCACCTGAAGCTGTTTAAAGCTCACTAGTCCAATCATAAGCCATCAAACGGTGTGTCATAATTTTTTTATTTTTAAAGTTATGCAGCGTGAAGACAATGTGAGCAATAAATACGTCAACTGCAAACAATTAACAACAACCACACCAACAGCACCACCAACACCAACAGCACCACCAACAACCACACCAACATCAATACAATCTGGTACAAATGTGCACTTAAGGAGGTGTTTGGAAGGAAGGAAGATGGCGCAAGATAAGAGATGTTTTTCTCACAAATAATTTAACATTCCAGTTGAAGAGCTAAAATTGAGTTTTAAATCAAAGAAATCTATACAGATAATTGAGAGTAAAATTGCTTTTTTTAAAGTCTTTCTTGATATAGTTTGGAATGTAAAGATTAACACAGGGCTACACAAAACTTGAACAAATTAAACAAATTAATCATGCGAATGTATAGAATCGAAGTATGGAATCAAAGTATGGAATCAAAGTATGGAACCAAAGTATAGAATCAAAGTATAGAATCAAAGTATAGAATCAAAGTATAGAATCAAAGTATAGAATCAAAGTATAGAATCAAAGTATAGAATCAAAGTATAGAATCAAAGTATAGAATCAAAGTATAGAATCAAAGTATAGAATCAAAGTATAGAAGACAAATCAAAAATATTAGAACGATGTAAATTTCCAGGGACGGTCATTTCAAGAGTCAATACAAAATTGCAGCCCCGTTGTATAAAACCGGGGGTGGGGGTGGTGGAGGGGGGCGAGAAGAACCAATGCCTAAAAATTCAACTACTTCAACTTACAAGAAATCATTTTCTATCAGTTCGCTGTGTCAATTCCTGAAGATGAAGGCGAGAAGTTCGTGATTCCATGAATGTGACAAAGTCTTTATTACATCAATGTGATACAGTCTTTATCTATTCCATAATGTGACAAAGTTTTTAACTACAAAGAGATACGTGCTAATTCGTTTAAGATACATTGACATCTGTTTTATTTTTGTAGATGTCAAGGTATCTTAAAACGTTTTATTTTTGTGGATGGCATGGTATCTTAGACTGTTTTATTTTTGTAGTTTTTGTTTTAAAAATAAAGAAAGATTATGACTTTATTGATCAAGATACACTTTAAGCTGAAAAAAATACATACATTGTTTCCTTTATATTATTAGTCACACTAACCCTTATAAGTCCCATATTCCTCGACACACTTTTAAACAGCAATGCAACCACATATAATGAAATGAAAAGCAAAGTCTTAATTCAGACAATAAAATAAAAAAATGATAAAACAAATTATAGACATTCGAGAGTCTGATACTCGCTTCACTTAAACCTAACTCTTTACACCACCCTTGTATAAAACTAAACATTGACACCACACGTACATTTAGGTCAAGCGTCCAGTTCTGACAAAGAGTCCTTAGATATCCTGTTATAGACGTGGACATTATTTTTGAGCCAGTGTTGCTGTGCCGATCGCCTCAGGGGTTCACCCGCCGTAACGTTGAGCGCGAATCCTCTCCTTAACATGAGCGGCACCACGTCTTCAAAGGCCTTGTTGTTGACATGGGATAGGCCGTCTTGATCTGGGGAAGACATCAAACCCAGGTGACCGCGTGTTGGCGGGTGGACCAGCCATGATTTCATTTCGCCGGAGCTCAGGGCAGGGGTCGGCAACCTTTTGGTATGAGCGTGCCAAAGTCAGACTCAAAGTCATTAAGCGTGCCAAAGTGAGACTCAAAGTCATTCACGTGCCAAAGTAAGACTCAAAGTCATTCAGCGTGCCAAAGTAAGACTCAAAGTCATTCAGCGTGCCAAAGTAAGACTCAAAGTCATTCAGCGTGCCAAAGTAAGACTCAAAGTCATTCAGCGTGCCAAAGTGAGTTCAGCGTGCCAAAGTAAGACTCAAAGTCATTCAGCGTGCCAAAGTAAGACTCAAAGTCATTCAGCGTGCCAAAGTGAGTTCAGCGTGCCAAAGTGAGTTCAGCGTGCCAAAGTAGACTCAAAGTCATTCAGCGTGCCAAAGTAAGACTCAAAGTCATTCAGCGTGCCAAAGTAAGTCTCAAAGTCATTCAGCGTGCCAAAGTAAGACTCAAAGTCATTCAGCGTGCCAAAGTAAGACTCAAAGTCAATAGCGTAAAAGTCTACCATCTAAGACGCATTTTAAAAGTCACTTATAATTTTTTATTTGGTCTTACGGGTGGCAATAAAAATTGCTGTGCGTGGCATGTCTGGCACGCGTGTCGTTGGTTACCGACCCCTGCCCCAGAGGATGGAAAGATAAGTCTTTATTATGGTATATATCAGGGAAAAATTTAAACCAACTGGCTCCAGTTTATAAAGTAGCTGCAGAGGCGCCAGAGTAAGGGTAGATAGGAAATCATATGGTTGAAAAAATACGGTGGAAAATAGAATTAAAATGAAGGTTAAAATGTAGGGCTAAAATGCGAGTCATTAACTCCACTACAAACCTGGACGGCTCCAACTCAGAATGAGACCTTCCCTGACGTGCCTGACCAGGTTGTCCAGGAAAATAGTCTCATACTTGGCAGGGATGTGTTCTGCTACTTCAACACAAATACCCCAGTCAAAGATGGGTAGTCCATATTGAGGCGCTGTAAGGTCAAGAAACGTTACCTAAAATGAAAGCATGGGGTATTTAAAAAATTATGCCATCTTGAGTGATAAAAGAAACATTGTGTTATTATGAATCATATGTTACAAAATATAAATTAGCCTTCAAAGAGAAACATTAAAATGATCTTGATATAGTGTGGCCCAATTTTAGGATCCGAAAACTATACACAGTGAGTGAGTCAGCTATACACAGTAAGTGAGTCAGCTATACACATTGACTGAGTCAACTATACAAATTGACTGAGTCAACTATTCACATTGACTGAGTCAACAATACATTTGATTATGTGTTCAATAAAATTTTAAGCTAAATAATATATCACCCACATATACATACCTTACCTCCTGTGACCTCCTCACAATATGGCGCCCCGTCATATGCTGTGTAGCTGACAACCTCGCCGTAAGACTCCAGGAGTTTCTTATACTCCCCAGGGCCGTCACCAAAACTCGCCACTCTCTTGCCTTTTAGGAAAGAGCTCATAGCCTCGGAAAATTGCTGTATGGGAAATATGAGAATTAATTTTTTTTTTAAACTGTAACCCACATGCTGTTAACCTTTTAAATGTATTCATACATTATGGCGTAATGTACGAAGTTCTTAAGAACCTGTTATTTTGTTTCAGGGTTTTCCCGATATATATTTTTTCTACTTTATAATACATGTATTAAATATTTTTTTGTACTATCTTTCTCACTAATATTTATCAAGCAATTCTGACACCAAAAAGCTATTTCGCCCTCCTTGAAGTCTGATGTACCCCAGGTTTGGGGAATTTTTATGGCTTCATGATATTTCTGGTCCAACGTTATATATACCTTGCTGGGGGGTCGAACCCTGAAGCAATGGGATCCTCTACAAAAGCAGCATATGATAGGAGCACTGTAACGCATTATTACTAAAACAATAATTAAAAACAAGCATGTAACTACCTCTATCATGTGTGTCTTATAGACTGTCTCGGTGGCCACACTTTACCAACAACATATGTGTGTTCTGGTGGATGTATCCAGTATCGATATATTTGAAAATAGCACAAAATTTGTGAGTTGAGATGAAGGTCTATTACTTGACATGCTACAATAGTTAATAACATAGTTACCGTATCCGTCACGTGACTTGGACTGTTGGGGCTGCTCGCCGCCTTACACCAGCCGCCATTTTCAGAGACTTGGTCATCCATCTGGTGTAAAGGACAGTTCATAAAGTTTTATTGCTTTCAAATTAAAAAAAAAAAAATATGTCACTCCAAAACTAATAAATGCAGTTCATGAACTTTTCGACTTAGACTAATGCTAAAACGTGCTATCTAAAGAAGTGCTATAAATAGATAGAAGTGAGTCGGGATTATTTTTCTACACACATATCAAAGTTAGAGTATTTTGAAAAAAAAATCCCTAGAGGATCCAAGTCCGGGTTCAGGTTTTCCTAGTTTTCTCGTATTATTTATTGAATTCAGGTCAAATATTCAACACATCATATAGATATATATAGAAAGATGTTTTGGTTCTATAATAACAATTTTCATTTCTCCCCATTGGATGGAAAACATTATCGAGAACCGATAACTCTTTAAAAATAAAAACGGGAACAGTCTGTTTTTTTATATTGGATCCGGGTATTTGCCGGATGTGCTTGCATTTTCTGGTACCGGAGTCGGAACCCTGCTCAACACTAATTATAACAATTATATTTACTAAATAAAATAATAAAAAAATTAATGGTTGATATTATAGTTGCCATCAAAATGCGTGTAATGCTTTTTATTTTTTTTGTTGTAAAATAGCCAAAGAAATGAGTTTCGTTATTTGAAATCCAATTCTTTCGATACATTGCTTTCATCCCCTGAGTTGAACTCTTTAGTGTAGAGTTCATGAGTCAGAGTTCATGAGTCAGAGTTCATGAGTCAGAGTTCATGAGTCTGAGTTCATGAGTCAGAGTTCATGAGTCAGAGTTCATGAGTCAGAGATTGTTGGCAACTTTGTATTTGTTTTGTTGTTGTTGCTGATTCGCTTCCTAACAATTTGATGAACATTATTTATCTGATGACACATTGTTTTCAGAATCTTTGTATCAATTTATAGTGTTGTTTTTTGTTATTAAAGTGGTGACACTTTCAAGAAAAAAAAAATCAACATTTATTAGTGATAATACTAATTGTCCTGTGTGTTACCCCTCTCAAAGTGAGCATCTCACAGCTTTGTTGACCATAAACCTGTTTCATCTGGTTCAACATCTGCGACAGCTGGTTTCGCTGTCCTCTCCATTGTGCCGCCAGAGCTGTCACATTGTGGTTCGCCTCGGGTGGTGCCCTTGAGGTAAGGAAATATTTCAGCACTGTTTAGAGGCATTAATAGTTTATTTTTTTCAAATAAATTTAACGAAATAAGAGTTATCGTTTAATTTTTTTTTTCAGGTTCTATATGATTTCTTCTTAAAAATACACACACATACAAAAGCAGCAACACATAAAAAACAAACAAACAAGAGCATAAACAAACAATGAAGTTGTTCTAGAAACTGAACTGTCGAAAAAACTCAGTTGTTGATGCCATTATTCTTAGTGTGCTTGGCTCAGTGGCAGTTCATGTTTGATGTTATAGAACACGATTGCAATCATTAAATACAGTTCCCAACAGTTGAAGAACTTGTAATAAATGGTGATTCTACTAACACAAGGGTTGAAATAAGGCACGGGTAATATTACTTTGGCTACATCCTTACCGCTCTAAACAAAGGTGTTAATCTTTAAGTGCCACACACAAAAGTTTAAACAGGAGCTGATGCTTTAAGTTGAACATCAAGTCTGGTGACAGCCGCATGGTTAGTTTTTCTTAAAGTTAATTCGATCATGAGGTAGGGAGGACAGCCAACGGGAGGAGAGCCAACGGGAGGAGAGCCAATGGGGGGAGAGCCAACGGGAGGAGAGCCAACGGGAGGAGAGCCAACGGGAGGAGAGCCAATGGGAGGAGAGCCAACGGGAGGAGAGCCAACGTTACAAGAAAAATAGGGAAAAGGGGCATCAATCAGCGCCAAAAATGAGAGGTAATGGCCATGGCGCCCTGGGTTGGCTCCGACCCGTGGGTAACCCACCCCACCAGCTGGGCTCGCTCTGACCCTGAAGGCACACACGCCACCCATTGGGCCTGCTCTGACCCCAGGGGCACTTACCCAATATCAACTTAATTCATTTCGGTTATGGGGATTGCTTTTGTATCCTGCTTAGTTTCTCCTTGGGCATTTCTATAATGCAGCAATGTGTAAAAATGAAATGAGAGTTCAACTTGCGCACAATAATTTAAAAAAAATATTTAGACTTTAAATTTTTTTACCAACAACATGCAAAATAAAAAAAAAAAAAAAAAAAAAAAAAAAAAAAAAAAAAAAAAAAAACATTAAATGCAATTTAAATACAAATAAATAAATGTAGCATATATATATACATTTATGGTTATTTTACTTTGTCCCAGATTTGCCTTTTGCTGTATACGATTTATGCAAAGAGGGGGTAGAAAACTTGCTCCGAGGAGCATCGCCCCCCCCCCCCACTCCCTGTTCCCGAAGGAATGTCTGAAAGGAAAACCGCCCATGAACAATCCAATATTAAGACAAACATTTAAATATCTTATTTTCCCGTCAGTTGTAGGGAAATATTTCATACAAAGGTTAAAGTGAGATTTTTATGTAAGGATAGTCTTCCACTAAAAAACGTATCCAAGTTAAATTAGTTAAGGACCCACTGTAATTTCTCTGCATCATTGAGACACTGACTCGTTGACTGGTACAGTGTCCATAGGTAAATCATCAGCAACAGCATACATAAAGGTAAGACAATCAGCTGTGGACGAAATAATGTAAATAGCAATCTTTATGTAGGGAGTAGTTTAGAGCATCCTTGCTGTTTCTCTCTGTAACTGAATGGACAATTCTCATAACTGAATGGACGATTCTCATTAACTGAATGGACAATTCTCATAACTGAATGGACACGTCTCGTAACTGAATGGACACGTCTCATAGCTGAATGGACACGTCTCGTAACTGAATAGACACGTCTAGTAACTGAATGGACACGTCTCGTAACTGAATGGACACGTCTCGTAACTGAATGGACACGTCTCGTAATGAAATGGACACGTCTCATATCTGAATGGACACGTCTCGTAACTGAATGGACACGTCTCATAACTGAATGGACACGTCTCGTAATGAAATGGACACGTCTCATAACTGAATGGACACGTCTCGTAACTGAATGGACATGTCTCGTAACTGATTGGACACGTCTCATAACTGAATAGACACGTCTAGTAACTGAATGGACACGTCTCATAACTGAATGGACACGTCTCGTAACTGATTGGACACGTCTCGTAATGAAATGGACACGTCTCGTAACTGAATGAACACGTCTCGTAATGAAATGGACACGTCTCGTAACTGAATGGACACGTCTCGTAGCTGAATGGACACGTCTCGTAATGAAATGGACACGTCTCGTAACTGAATGGACACGTCTCGTAACTGATTGGACACGTCTAGTAACTGAATGGACACGTCTCATAACTGAATGGACACGTCTCGTAACTGATTGGACACGTCTCGTAATGAAATGGACACGTCTGGTTTATTTCACAGTAATATAGTGTTAGTGTGAGGTTGTCGTTTACAACCTCAGTCCTACATATAGTCAAGGCCGTCATAATAACAACGGTTGCCCTGGACTGCGACGAAGTCACGACAAACAGTTCCGGCTGATAAAAACAAGAACAAAGTACAGAAGCTCCTCATTTCTGCCGAAGACAATAGGGGACTGGAACAAGCTTCCAAAAGCAACAGTTGAGGTGGCTACACTCGATACATTTGTGTCTATTGCCTCCTGTATTCCAACCCCCAGTTCATAACACCACTGCTGAGTCGCCCTTGCAACCAGTGAAGTATCCCATTGAAACCCATGGACAGTAACATCGCAAACCCCTCTGAAACATAGGAGCCAGAATGATCAATTCATTGATCGTGGGCCCTTAAAATAAAGAAGAAGACAAAGTAATGCACTTGGGCCCCCTATTCTTTTCAAACCTATTCAAGTAATTTAAGGTACGTCATTTGCGCCGAGATTGCCCCATGCGTCATGATCAGCGTGTCTGTTATTTGGACCCAGGTTGGTCAGTTTATCGGTCATTTGGGCCCAGGTTGGCCAATTTATCGGTCATTTGGACCCAGGTTGGCCAGTTTTTTTATCGGTCATTTTGGGCCCAGGTTGGCCAGTTTTATCTGTCATTTGGACCGAGGTTGGCCAGTTTTATCTGTCTTTTGGGCCCAGGTTGGCCAGTTTTATCTGTCTTTTGGGCCCAGGTTGGCCCATGCTTTATGCACAACTATATATACCAAACTAAAAGAAATCCTACTTCCCGCCATGTAGCGCGTGTTGAGCAGCTCGTTTCACCATATGCAAAATATGCAAGCATGAGAAAAATACTGTTAGCAGAAAATTTGTGTAGATTTGTTATGGCATTTGAAATCTGTTCATTTAAATAAACAAATAGATTGTAAATGAATGACACATTTATGTAAATATGATATGAATTAATTACAAAAATCATCGTATACTTATTAAAATGTGTGACAAATCTGAAGGAAGTCGAAGCTGAATAAATGCTGCGTTAGATTGAAAGGTTCATTTCGACGTTCAAACTACTAGAACTTTCTTCAACTAAATGAACCATTAATGAGCATTAACGCGCATTCTTTGTTTGACTTTTGACATTGCGGGAAGACGCTGAAGTCGATGGACGTTTTCTCTATCCTGTCTTTTCTCACTTGTGTGATCTATTGCGCCACGTCGGTGTTTGTTAATTATTTATCCTGTAAAAATCATCTTATCACTGAGGCGCACTGTGACCCTCTCCCCGCAGGCACATCTAGGTGTTGTCCAATGTAAACAATTGGTTGGACTGATAGATAGGTAGGCCAATCTGATTGTGTTTGTTTTCGAACGACGCGAGGGGCCGACACCGAGTGAGTCGGCGCCCTTGTGCTGTTGTTGTTGATGTTGTCACACACTACACCACAAGCCTATGCCCAAAAAGGGTGGGGAAGAGGTGGAGGGGGAGGTGATAAAAAGTTTAATTATTATTTAAAAAAAAAAATCGCTTTCCAATGGGTGTTGTCGTTATAAACATTTTTTGGCGTTAGTTGTCATGGTGTACATTCGTCTAACGTTGTCGGTTCAAATGGTGTACATTCATCTAACGTTGTCGGCTCTAATGGTGTACATTCGTCTAACGTTGTCGGTTCTAATAAGTTTGTGGCTGAAAGTTCGGGTTTGTTCGCACACCGTCACGTTGAAGTTGTGGTTCGGGGCGGGTTTGGTCATCAGTCGGGTTCGGTGTGTTCGGTGGGTTTGGTGTGTTCGGTGGGTTCGGTGTGTTCGGTGGGTTCGGTGGGTTCGGTGTGTTCGGTGGGTTCGGTGGGTTCGGTGTGTTCGGTGGGTTCGGTGTGTTCGGTGGGTTCGGTGTGTTCGGTGTGTTCGTCGGTGTGTTCGGTGGGTTCGGTGTGTTCGGTGTGTTCGTCGGTGTGTTCGGTGGGTTCGGTGTGTTCGGTGTGTTCGTCGGTATGTTCGGTGTGTTCGGTGTGTTCGGTGGGTTCGGTGGGTTCGGTGTATTCGGTGGGTTCGGTGTGTTCGTCGGTGTTTTCGGTGTGTTCGTCGGTGTGTTCGGTGTGTTTGGTGTGTTTGGTGTGTTTGGTGTGTTCGGTGGGTTCGGTGTGTTCGGTTAGGTTTAGGTTCGAGCCCCATCTGAACTACATACCATCAGGCCTGTATCATATTATTGTGGATGATTCTGCGGAATATTTTTTTTTTTTTGTTAAAATGTTGACATATCTATTCAACATTTGTGTATCCGTTTGTATCTATATCTTCGTCTATATTTCTGTATGCGTGTATGTGTCTACGTTTGTGTCAACATTGGTGTCTACGTTTGTGTCAACATTGGTGTCTACGGTTGTGTCTTGTTTGTGTCGATACACTACCTTTATGTTAACATTAGCGCCTACTTTTGTGTCTGCGTTGGTGTACACATTTGTTTCTATATCTGTGTCTACGTTTATTTCAACATTGGGGTCTACGTGTGTATTAGCATTTGTGTCAACATTTATGTCAACTTTTGTGTCGACTTTTATGTCTACGTTTGTGTATACATTAGTTTCTACATTTGTGTCTATATTTTTGTCTAAATGTGTGCCTATATTTGTGTTTATATTTGTTTCTATATTTATGTCTTTATTTGTGTCTACATTTGAGTCTACATTTGGGTCTACATTTTTGTCTATATTTGTGCCTATATGTGTGTCTACATTTGTGTTTACTTTTGTGTCTATATTTGTGTCTATATTTGCGTCTATGTTTGTTCTCGCTAGGTATAATCAGGTACTGGCAGTAACTTATCTTTTCAAATGAGATTTGCTAATCTCTCACCATCATCTGAGTCTTCTAATTGATGTGTCGTTAAATAAAAGAAAATAATTGTATCTGTGTAAATACCTGACGCCTGGAAGAGTTGGCACATCTGGACGAGATCATTCTTATGTCTTGTTGTTTTTTGTTTTGGGGTGGGGCCTGTTCGTACAAGCTCCACTTGCCGCCTTGACCTGTGGACCGCCGACTGATGCATCAACACATGAGTTGGGAACAGATGTTTCACATGTTGACAGTGTGAGTGACGTCTGACAGTCTAACAGGTAGATAGCGCATGCTATTACCAGACTTTAAAAAAACAACAAGAAATATATATTTTTTTTTTATTTAGTCAATCCATTTAGTCTTTGGATGTATCCAATGGCAGGTATCCAAAAAAAAACAACAAAAAACAAAAAAAAAAAACAAAAAAAAACGTGTGGGGGGGGGGGGGGGGGACTGGGAGGAGCTAGGAAGGTTCTTTGGAGGCAGTGTCGTCACGAGGGTTTTGTGGGTAGGTGGGTGGGTGGGTGAGTTGGGGTGTGTGGACTGCAGCGGGTATCTGTTTAAGAGGGACCATAAGTGACCACTTGAGTCATTATGGCATATCTTTTAAAAAAAAGATGTCTCATATCGTTAAAAAAAAGATGTCTCATATCTTGAACTAAACAAACTTAAAGGGTACAATTCAAATCGGTTGTCACTCTAACATGAGATTGATATTTTATTTAAAAAAAAACATCAACTCTAAAAATGACTTGTTGCGGAAATGATTTGGTGGTACCCCCACACTCAAAGAAAGGGAGCATCAGTGGTCAACCTCTCCGCTAGGAGTTTGAAGGTCATGGAAACATTGTCACCAACGACGAAAATACTGTCAGAGAGAGATAGAGGCAAAGTTGAAGATGACAAATGGTGTAAGCCAGCGGATCTCAACCTGTGGGTCGCGACCCCTTTGGGGGTCCGAACGACCCTTTCACAGGGGTCGCCTAAGACCATCTGAAAACACACATACTCCACAGTTATAAAGTATCAACGAAAATAACTTTGTGGTTTGGGGTCGCCACAACGTGACGGAATGTATTAAAAGATCGCGGCACTAGAAAGGTTGAGAACCACTGGCTTAAGCTAACAAATAACCCCACCACTAAAACTCATAAGAATAAAGATGAAGACCAAAGCTAGACTTCTTAACATTGTCTTTATATTACACTTAATTACTAGTGTAATTCCTGCGCTCTGAAATGGAAGCCTCAAGAGAAAACTCTTCAACAGCGGATGGGATGTTGAAAGCGAAAACTGGTCAAAGAAGAAGGGATTAGATTCGAAACAGGAAATAAAACAAGTGGTTGGTACATACCAAGCAACCAGTATGTTGCCCAAAAGTAAATTAATTGGTTCGGACATCTATTCACCTGCATTACAAGCCTACAATCGCCATCTGTACCAACCCTCAGCAACACTCACACATAGTGGCACATCTCCATCTGTACCAACCACATGTGCCTTCAGCAACACGCAACACTCACACATAGTGGCACATCTCCATCTGTACCAACCACATGTGCCTTCAGCAACACTCACACATAGCGGTACATCTCCGTCTATACCAACCACATGTGCCTTCAGCAACATTCACATATAGCGGCACATCTCCATCTGTACCAACCACATGTGCCTTCAGCAACACGCACACATAGCGGCACATCTCCATCTGTACCAACCACATGTGCCTTCAGCAAAACTCACACATAGCGGGACACCGCCACCTGTACCAACCACATGTGACTTCAGCAAAACTCACACATAGCGGCACATCTCCATCTGTACCAACCACATGTGCCTTCAGCAAAACTCACACATAGCGGCACATCTCCATCTGTACCAATCACATGTGCCTTCAGCAAAACTCACACATAGCGGCACACCGCCACCTGTACCCATGAGGAGGGAGATTTGGAACCATCTACTTTTTATTTAATTACTATCAGCTATGATAACAAGTCTAGCGACCTGTGCCAAATTCGCATTTTACCATTTGGTGCCACCCCCTCCCCGCTTTTGAAGACCCCCCCCACCCCGTGACCCCACTGTCTCGTTTGTGTAGTCATACAATTAAATCTGAGGGATCGATACTATCCTTTATCATACGTGTCAACATAAAATCCGGTCAATAACTTCTTGAGCTTTGTTTTTCGTTGACATCCTATCGACATCAAAGATATCTGGCCTCGATTTTGATCTCATGAAAAGTACTCGCCCTTCATTTAGTAAGTTGATGAATATCAAAGGACCAGGTGCGTATTGAGCTATCTGCCATTCAGAAATCAAAGTCTTTTTTTAATTTTTTTATTTTGCCCCTTAGATGAGTGTTCAATGGCTAAATTTCCGAATTTAAAAGACACCAATAGGAACACACACAAAACTATTAGGAAAAAAAATAATTTGGTAATTTAAAAAAAAAATGTATTCCTCAGCTGTGTCCATCGTGACACTCTTCATGTGTCCACCGTGACACTCTTCATGTGTCCATCGTGACACTCTTCATGTGTCCACCGTGACACTCTTCATGTGTCCATCGTGACACTCTTCATGTGTCCATCGTGACACTCTTCATGTGTCCATCGTGACACTCTTCATGTGTCCATCGTGACACTCTTCATGTGTCCATCGTGACACTCTTCATGTGTCCATCGTGACACTCTTCATGTGTCCATCGTGACACTCTTCATGTGTCCATCGTGACACTCTTCATGTGTCCATCGTGACACTCTTCATGTGTCCATCGTGACACTCTTCATGTGTCCATCGTGACACTCTTCATGTAATTGCCTCTAACCAAATCAACTTTTTCTGATCTGTAATTCACCACCTCAACTAGTTCTGATATATAATTCAGCAAATCAACTCTTTTTGATATGTAATTCACCACATCAACTATTTTTGGTAAAAGCGTTGAATTGTGGCTGAGAAACGGGTATTTTTTTTACCTATGTGTACAGTTGTTACGCGAATTTTCCCGCCTTATTAGTGGAGCCGACATCAAGTTATAAGAAGACAAAAGGAAAGTTTAATTTATTGGAAGACTCTGTGTCATAGAATGTTTGCAAGCAAGAAACTAATGCAACGTTTTAAAGGCGAATTTCAAAATAAAATTATTGTCAGTTGACAGACAGTTGTGTTGTCAGTTGACAGAAAGTTGTGTTTTATGTTAAATATTGCTATTTGAAAAAAAAGAAAAATCAATTCATAAAAAAACAATAACAATAACGTGTCGCAACCCCCTCCGCCCCCCCCCCGGGCCATTTAGGTCCGCCTCTGTATCAGAATTGATATCCCCCCACCCTAGAAGTTCAAGCTTTTGGAATATTCTGGTATTTAAATATAACTTGAAAATTGATAGGCTTTTAAATTTTCATTAGAACCAGTGTTGGACCTTGACTACTGACCTCTCGCNAACACACACACAAACAACGCAATTGTTAAGTATTGTCTGTACTACAGTCCACCCCCCCCCCCACACACACACACAATCATGCAAATGTTCAGTATAGTCTGTATTGAAGTTGAGCTAATTACGTACTTTTATGGTCAAATTATATGTTATAGTAAACAAAAGTTAATTCATTTTCTACAGGAACACACGTCTCAGCTTTAGCTTAAAGCCTTCAAGTTGTGTCATCTAGCGACGATATTGGACAATAAAAACAAACTGGAATAGACAGAATGCTGGGACACGTCTACTTGGGCAACTGGGGGCATATCCAAACGCAATGGCGTAGCTAGGGCTGGTGTCACCCGGGGCGGTAAGCTGATTGTGTCACCCGGGGCGGTAAGCTGATGATGTCACCCGGGCGGTAAGCTGATGGTGTCCCCGGGGCGGTAAGCTGATGGTGTCCCCGGGGCGGTAAGCTGATGGTGTCCCCGGGGCGGTAAGCTGATGGTGTCACCCGGGGCGGTAAGCTGATGGTGTCACCCGGGGCGGTATGCTGATGGTGTCACCCGGGGCGGTAAGCTGATGGTGTCACCCCGACTGCCACGATGAATTTCCTCTCGTCAAAATAAATCGTTATAAAAATGACAAAGCAAATTACCTGAAAGTCAGGAGCTAAATGTATTTAAGAACTGTAAAGTGTAGAATGTCCCGACCACATCGTATTGATAAATATAGCTTCATGTCACATACGAAAGTAACCGAACACTTCAATCGGCGTTGAATCATCGTCAAAACGGTGTTTTCTGACCTAATTCTGGGGTCACCTCATTTTGGACGCATCAACTTTGAACTTTTAATAAAGCACACATTTGGATTGGTTAGAAGTATGGACAATTTACGTGTGATCGGTAATCCATTGATTAAATTCGGATAGAACCAGCAGTGTGTGCTTTGTAAAAATGCAATTGTCAATTTGTTGTCAACCCCTGAGATGGTTTCACCAGGTGCGGTCCGAAACAACCCCCCCCCCCCAGCTACGCCACGTATGTTCTCAATGTTAGCAGTTATTGGACAAGGAATTGGAATTTAAATTCGGAAAGAACCAGCAGTGGGTGCTTTGTAAAAAAGCAATTGTCAATTTGTTGTAAACCCCTGAGATGGTTTCACCAGGTGCGGTCCGAAACAACCCCCCCCCCCCAGCTACGCCACGTATGTTCTCAATGTTAGCAGTTATTGGACAAGGAATTGGAATGAATTTACAGACGTAGAGACTTACATAGTCTTCTAGTACTTTGTATGACATTTTAGCCTACGTTCATTATATAATATCTTTTAATATAATATATATGGTTGATCGCCATTCGAGTGATTCTGTGACATTTTGAAACACATTTCTTTTGGGATTTCCCTTGAACCAGTTGACTTCTGGCGCTACCGTATAACAACAACAACAACAAAAAAATCCCTCTTTACTTCATTTTATTTCGTACCATATGTAGCATTATTGTTTTTAATGGTTCTTTGAAGAGAAGGTTGTCAGATGCAAGATTGAAAAAGGGAGGATACTTCAAATGAAAATAAATTTAAGAAATAAACGATATTTTTGGAATAAATAAATAATTACAACATTAAAAAAAGTTTTAGTCATACCTTTGTCGATAATAATGCATTTGAACATACCTTTTACACTAATTATGTATTTAAACATACCTTTTACACTAATTCGTTTTTTAAACGTACCTTTCATACTAATTAGGTATTTAAATATATTTCCTAGAGCTAGCTAATTTTACAAAACTTCTTCATTTCTTAAGAGGTAATTATACAAATCCAAGCCAGCCATATTCTTGACATTGTTCTGTCCGTGTGTGTATTACCGCTTCCACTAACTTCAAATCAAGTCTGCTCCACTCATTGGTCCATCAAGAATATATCAGTGAAACAACCCTCCTCGTGTTTGCCCAATGAGCGCAAATTAGATTAATAAATTTTTTAGTAATTCTAAAAACAACCCAGCCACAACCACCAATCTACAATCTTCTAAGAATGTGTTATCATTGGCAACGAGTGAATGTATCAAGTTTCAGTTCGATAGAATGACGGGAAGTGGGTCAATTAACCAGCCGAAGTTTTTGCCCTAAGCACACGGAGACACGCGAAGTTAATATAAAGGGTTGAAAATGAGAGGACCTTTAAAATGGGAGACCTTTAAAATGGGAGGACCTTTAAAATGGGAGGACCTTTAAAATGGGAGGACCTTTAAAATGGGAGGACCTTTAAAATGGGAGGACCTTTAAAATGGGAGGACCTTTTAAGGTCAAGGGTGGAGATGTCCTCCTTTTAAAATCCATCTGGCGATCCTTCCAACACCAGGCGGGTCAGAGCCTGGCGATTCTTCCTACACCAGGCGGGTCAGAGCCTGGTGATCCTTCCTACACCAGGCGGGTCAGAGTCTGGCGATCCTTCCTACACCAGGCGGGTCAGAGTCTGGTGATCCTTCCTACACCAGGCGGGTCAGAGTCTGGCGATCCTTCCTACACCAGGCGGGTCAGACCCTGGTGATCCTTCCTACACCAGGCGGGTCAGAGTCTGGCGATCCTTCCTACACCAGGCGGGTCAGAGCCTGGTGATCCTTCCTACACCAGGCGGGTCAGAGTCTGGCGATCCTTCCTACACCAGGCGGGTCAGAGTCCAAGTAAAGCAAGTCAAATACAAATCTCAGAAGGAATTAGTTTTATTGGTGTGTTCGGTAAGCTCTACAGAGTCACCTGTGAGATAAGTGGGATATCTGAATCATTCATTTGTGATTTCTGAAGCATTCATTTGTGATATCTGAAGCATTCATTTGTGATATTTGAAGCATTCATTTGTGATATCTGAAGCAATCATTTGTGAGGTCTAAAGCAGTCATTGTTGCCATCTGAAGCAGTAATTTGTGATATCTGAAACATTCATGAATGTTTGTGACATCTGAAGCATTCATATGTGATATCTGAAGCATTTATTTGTGAGATCTAAAGCATTCATATGTGACATATGAAGAATTCATATGTGACATCTGAAGCATTCATTTGGGAAGTCTAAAGCATTTATTAAACTACACCAGAAATCCCCTGTCTTGTGCCAAAGCGTAACTCCCTTAAGATTGAACCAGGTAGATCTCACCCCACCTGATCTCCTCACCCACCTCACCTCACCTACCTTAACTCACCTCACCTCACCTAACCGCATCTACTCTCACAAAAAAAGTTATATTATCAGAAAAGTCCTTTTGATGTTTACTACCCCCCCACCCCAACAATTATATTCATCTGTACCTTCAGTCATCCTCAGTCAACTTCAGTCATCCTCAGTCATCGCCTTCAGTCACTTTCAGACCCGGTGTGCCCTAGCCGCGACAAATAACACGCCTTGGGGAAATTTGAGGACCATTCACATTAGTCAAGGCCACGAAAGTTTCTGCACTCTGATCTCAGAAAGAAAAAAATCCAGGTGCGGAAACTAAAAATCAGCAAAATGTTTTCATTTACTCCTGGAAACCTTGATGCATTCATTTGGACAATTTGAAACAATAGAATGCTGCCTCTTTGAAAGATAGTAGGTTTTAATATCTTGTTTTCCTACACAGCAGAAACTATCTGTTGCTATAGATAAATATTAGACTGAAATTGCCGAGATCTGGCGACGTCTAACTTAGCGAAACTATGCACATAGGGACACTTTTTTTTTATCATGAAACTGATTTAATCTTATCATTGTGTTCATTTGAGACAAATGCTGCCCCACCATTTAAAGAAAAAAAGTGTGCACGGTTCACACCGCTCTCCACACACAGTTACATGAACACTTGACATGACATGAACTATTGACATATAAATTTGGCACGAACGCTTGATATGAATGCCTGACAGGAATCTTGACACGAATGCTTGACATGAACATTTGACATAAACACTTCATATGAACATTTCACATGAACACTTCACATGCACACTTCACATGCACACGTCACATGCACACGTCACATGAACATTCATATGAACATTTCACACTGTTATAGAGAGCTTGTTTACATTATATTTCTCGTGCGTGCCCTCTGATTGACCCCGCATGAGACGCTGTGTTCACAAAGGGGTGTGGCTTAGTTCTTTGATGTATTCTTGTTTACGCCGCCAACGAATAAAAATAATTAATTTGTTCCAAATAGTATTTTGTAGAATGATTTTGATTTTTCTAGAAATGTCATGTAGCTGCTCGAAGGCAGGGCTTGGGCGTCGGTAGACCCACCTATATAAGGGATTGACAGGCACGGACGAGAGGAGAGAGAGATTTCAGATAGATTTTCTTAACATTACGAGGCGTGTTTTATTCTTTGTGTATTTGTGTGCTCATATGTGTTTATTTCGCATTATTTATTGGCACATTACTCTAACTGTGTTAACTGTGTACCGGTACAAGATCTACCATACTGTAAGTTGAAGATTGTAATTATATTTTTCTTTTCTTTTGTAATTATCTTAAGACATAATAAATCTTAATTAATTGTAACTAGAAACTGTTTTGGGTCGTATCTTTAATATTGTTGATTCTATGGTATCGTCATTTGTTAGGCACTGCTTACAACGAGCCAATTAAAATTAAAATAGGAGATTAATTTCTCCCAATACAAGTCAGTGCGTAACAACATGAACACTTCACATGAACACTTCACATGAGCATATGGGGATGAAAAAAAAGTTGTGTTGATTAAATTGGACATAGATTAAGTTACAGCTAGGTTACTAAACCCTTATACCTGCTATGTTTTCCCTGTCTATCGGTTATGTTGCCCCATTCTTCTATCAGCTATGTTGACCTCACCCTGGCTGAAGCTGAGCTGGGACAAAACAAAGCTTGCCCCCAATCCCTTATAGGTGTAGGCTCCCAGCAGTGTACGGGTGAATTCCAAGCACTGGCTTACCACATCAGTGAATAATTCAAACGTGACTTCACTGGAAGCCCCTTCAAGAGAAAGAAGAGTGTTACGCACTGCCTTCTATTGTGAGAAATTAATCTCCTATTTTAAATGTATGGCTCGTTCAAACAGTGCCTAACAAAGGATGATACCATAGAATACAATAACAAAAATACGACACGCAAAACAATACCAATTATAATTAATCAGATTTAATTTAGTAATAATACAATTACAAAACAAAAGAAATATAATTACAAATCATCAACTTACAGAGCTTGGGAAAATCTTGAACCGGTACACAGTACAATGTGCCAATTAATAATGATGAATGCGAATACACACATATGAGTACACAAAGAATAATACACGTCTCTTGAAGCTAAAAATTTCTCTCTGAATCCCTCTTAATCTCGGAAAACCCTTATTTATATAATGGATCTATCGACGCGTCCAGAAACGCATTTGACATTGTTTACGTTTCTCGTCAAATCGAAAAAGTTCCACAAGATACTAGGAGACAAACTAACCATGTTTAATTGTTAGTCGGTCGTTAATACGACATATCAAAGGAACTAAGCCACGCCCATCTATGAACGCAGCGTCTGCCAGGAATCTAATTTGGCGTCAAGCAAAGCTCACGCAAAGTATCCTACATAACAAAGAGCAAAGAAGTCCTCAGAAGATAATCAAGCAGATATTTTAAGTAGAGCTGATAAATTGGACAATTGTCTTGATGACATTAAAAAACACGACGGACGGAAATTTGAGGTTATAATTTGTTATCCATACACTGTGGAACATTCTAACAAATAAATGTAATAATAGCAAACATTCAAAGCACGTATCCACAAATTTAAGCATCCAATTCGACCAAGGAATCCATGGATATCCTGTTGTAAACGTGAACGTTTCTCTGTAACCAAGAAAATGTCGCAGATTTCCTCAGCGGTTCCCCAGCGGTTACGTTGAGCTCAAATCCTCTTTTTAACATGAGCGTCACCACCTCCTCCAACGCCTTGTTGTTGACATGTGAGAGCCCGCCTTGACCTAGAAATATCACAATTAAATTCGCCGTTATTGTATATTGTACATCACACATAAATTCTCCCATAATATCTAAATGAGCTAAATATTAAATAATTTGTATATGTGGCGACCGTATATCATTTTCACAGGTGTGGCAATTATGAACGTCAAGGGATTTGCATTTGGTAGGCGGCCATAGAAGCGTACATTAAATGTCAACATATCTGTGAACGTGTGGATCGATAGACTGTGTTGGCAGTTATAATAATGTGTGCTTACTTTTTCAAGTCGCTTGACACTAATCTTGTTGTGTCACATGAAAAAATAATTATACAATGCCATCCCAAGTTTGGTTTTCATCCCAAAATTCGTATGTTCATTTTTCATCCTACGTTTATCATTTTTTCTCATAAATGCTACCATTTCAGTAGACTTAAAAAAAAAAAAAAAAAAAAAAAAAAAAAAAAAAAAAAAAAAAAAAAAAAAAAAAAAAAAAAAAAAAAAAAAAAAAAAAAAAAAAAAA